TTTTTTTTTTTCTCCTACAGGTGACTTCCCGGGCTCCGTAATATCGCTTTATTCTGGGTCCGAATAAAACATCAGATCATGCACAGACTATCCTGTCTCTTTGAATTTAAATCTATATTTATTCACACCGGCCTTTGAAAACCTCTATGTGAACACACTTGCCCGAATATTAAAAGTGGGGGGGGACACGTCCCCCGCGTCCCCCGTGTATCTACGCCCCTGCTGTAATGTATAAATGCGTTTGGGTGAATAAATGTCTGTAAGAGCATCGGATGGACTGTATTTGTGTCATTTTGTTAGGTTAATGCTTCAGCTACAAATGATGTGTTGCGCAATTGTTAATTGGGTTTCTTTCTTTAGTAATGGCATTCATTCTCGCTACATAAGATACCTGTCTGTTATGTAGTGCCCTGTTATACTGCATTACTGTGTAATATTTATGGTTTCTATAGCCGTGGCATCATTATGATGGTATGAAGAGATGGATTAATTCATGTAGGACGCCACTGAAGGCCTAGGTGTAAAATGCACGGCCCACCACTGAAATCAAAGGGTTATCAAGAAAGCTGTAGGTTCTCCATATCAGTAATGGGAATTCATATAAGTGTATCTTCCCAAATCCCATTTTATTGCACTAATTGTCACTTAAGGGCTATGAAAGTCAATTGTATCAAGACAAGATATAGGCTAACCTTTGTTCTGTGAATGTGAAAAGTCTCATGATATTCACAAGTATCTTTCATACACTGTTTATTTGGAGTGCAACCTAATAACTAAATGCTTGTTTAAACCAAGGATGATAACGAAATAACTAGCCTATAATAACATCCACATAACAGACGAAAACATTCAGTTTATTTATGCGCTGCAGTTCTGTTTTTAGCCTATCATTCATCAGCTGAACAAAATTCACTGTAGCCTAAGTGATCTCGATTATATTGTTATGCGACTCTGATGTTAGTGATATGGACTCTAGCTGCTATTCTATTCTCTCTCTCTCTCTCTCTCTTTAAATTGTATGGTTATTGTTATGATTATGGTTATCAATGTTTGCTTGAGCAGACCTTAATCGTGTATAGGCTAATATTGTTACAGAAGTTATACCATCTTGACTATGCTAGCTTAGAAAAGATTTGTAAATGTCACATATTAATTTCACCACCATAATAAAATGAGCTGCCTGCAGCTGTAATTCACTTTATGAATTTATTCAAGGCAACTGATAAAAGTTTAATTCAATAGTCAGCCAGTTTATTTTCTCCTATGCGCGCGTTGTTAAGGAAACTGGCGGGCGTCAAATGGTTAAACATATGCCGCGCCCATCACATCCTGTCCCGTTAGTAGGTCGCTACACAAATACTGAACTTTGTCTTTCAGTAAACACGAATTGGACAGCCAGAGCGAAGGTCGATAATCCATCCACTCGGTTAAACGCTAAATGAATGAAGCAAACCTGTTGTTGTATTAGTGAGCTCTAATCGAAACGAGTGAGGTAAGACAAGTTGTTGCGCATTAATAGACAAAGAGTAAATACGACTACATGATAACGTTCGCCTAAATTATTAATTTGTGATGGCATCGTACATTTTCTATTGTTGAAAACTTGCTAAACGTAACCATTGTCTCTAGGATCTATTCATCATCATCATGAACTTTCTCTTGGAGACTCTTCAGGTGCTTTTGATGTCACTGGTCTACAGCTTAGAAGCATTCGTTAGGTTATTTATACCGCCTCGAAAGAAGAATGTGTCCGGGGATTTCGTGTTGCTGACCGGGGCGGGCAGTGGCATAGGTCGCCTCATGGCCCTGGAGTTCGCGCGCCTGGGCGCGCGCCTTGTGCTGTGGGATATTAATGAGGACGGTAATAATGAGACTGCTCGTATGATTAAAGAAACGCACGGAGCGCGAGCGTACACATATACCTGCGACTGCAGCAACCGGGAGGAAGTGTACAGAATCGCAAACCAGGTAGAATACACGGTTACACTTCAGTACAAAGACACATGTAATCTTCCGTCTACATGCTTGTGTAAGTAACTGCAGTGTACATAGCTGACAACTGGACATAGGCCTAGACACAGTATATTTTATTCATTTATATATTTCACATTCATGTTTTAGGTGCATTAGGATTTATTTATCTGTACATTTTAATGGGATTTGCCTTTTCATTTATTTGAGGCCTAGAAAAGAATGTCATTGTGTGCCACAGGACCTACACAAGTGCCAAATTTGTAATGACCATTATGACTATAAACATTCACTCTCTTTTGCTTAAATGTTTATTTATTTTCAGTATACTGTAAAATGTTTTATCATCATAACAGTGTCTATTAATCATTTTTAATGGTTTCAGCTTGATTTTCTTCAAATCAAAATGTTTAGCCAGTTTATTTTCTCCAGTGTGCGCATAATAATAATAATAATCGGCAGGGATCCCAGACCAATACAATTAGTGTGCCTCCTCTATTTTAAAACCCACGAGCCGCCACTGACTCTCGCTACACAAATACTGAACTTTGTCCTTCAGTAAACACAAATTGGACAGCCAGAGCGAAGGTCGATAATCCATCCACTCGGTTAAACGCTAAATGAATGGAGCAAACCTGTTGTTGTATTAGTGAGCTCTAATCTAAACGAGTGAGGTAAGACAAGTTGTTGCGCATTAATAGACAAAGAGTAAATACGATAATAAAATTATTAATTTGTGATGGCATCGTAAATTTTCTATTGTTGAAAACTTGCTAAACGTATAACCAAATTGCAAATTTCTTATAATCAAAATGGTTGAAAAACCACAATGAACTGCTGTGACTAGTTCTAACTTAGTCGGCAAGGCATGAACACCATATGGCACCGCTTTAATACTTTCAACTTTAGGACAACAGTAATCCCTTAAGTGTTCATTTTTAGTGAGTTTACATTTTGACAGAGTAATAAGATCTTGTGTAATTCATGACTCAATCCCTTTGTTTTATTAAGGTAAAGCGTGAGGTTGGTGATATCACAATTTTGATAAATAATGCAGGAATTGTTACTGGGAAGAAGTTCATGGAATCTCCTGATTCACTCATAGAGAAGTCTATGGAGGTCAATAGTCTGGCACATTTCTGGGTATGTATACCATCCATCCATCGCATCCATCCATCCATCCATCCATCCATCCATCCATCTATCTATCTATCTATCTATCTATCTATCTATCTATCTCTCTGTCTATTTTTGCCTCTAAATGATGCTAAAACAAAGCATGCATGATAGTCTATATCTCCTCTTAGATGTACAAGGCATTTCTGCCAGCAATGATTGCTGCTAATCATGGCCATTTGGTCAGTATTGCAAGCTCCGCTGGACTTATTGGAGTAAATGGACTGGCAGGTAGATGTTCTCAGTTAACAATGTAAATTTCTCACTTAGAAATAAGTACACATTTCAAATGACAATTGTGCTTTTGAATGTTTTGTACAGATTATTGTGCAAGTAAATTTGCTGCAGTTGGCTTTGCTGAGTCTATGGCACTAGAGCTGCTGGCCACGGGCTGTGATGGAGTGAAGACCACCATAGTCTGCCCATTTTTCATTAACACTGGCATGTTTGATGGTGCCAACACAAAGTAAGAAACATACTGTTTCTAAAAAATAAACATAACCTACTTTTCCTGCCTACTTAACCAAACATTTTCTGTATTGCTCAGCACACTGTTTTATTTTTATTTTTATGATAAACCTGTGGACATGGCTGCATACTTTATGAATGCTATCTGTGACAATGTAGCATGTACAATCTGCACCAGTACAATGGAGAAGCATGTACATTTACATTTATTAATTTCTGTCATGACAACTCTCAAGAGAGTTTAGCATGGTAATATACATGCCAATGTTTATGTGTTTGGTCTTGGTGAAATAGATCTACTACACTGCTACGGCAGAGCAAGTACTACTGCCAGTACGTCCACAGACATTGTGCTGTGAGCACGTAGAAAATACTGCTGCTGCACATATAACATATATGAAATAACCCCCATATGTAACATGCATAAAATTAACCTGTAGCAGATCTATACAGGTGGAGATGGGGAAGGTGGAGGGTTTCTGAGCGTGCTGCAACTGCTACAGCAAGCACTATCCAAGTATTTGAATGTTGAGCAGTAAGCTCATTGGCTGCTTATGTGAAAAGAAACCAATCAACTGCGCCATTTGAATGATGATGTAATTACATCTGTATAATTGAGTTAGAACATATTGGCCTGCGCCATCTAGAGTTTCATTACAGAACTTCTTTATCCAACTACTTTTATCCAAAGCAGCTTACAAATGAGAAATAAAAAAGAGTTTCATCCTATAGAAAGAATAACATGAGAAGTGCTAAAAATACAAAATCTATAACTACAATCTATAGTACATGCTAGAACAATATGAAATGGTGAGCATAGAGCAGGGCTGTCCAAACTCGGTCCTGGAGGGCCGGTGTCCTGCAGAGTTTAGCTCCAACCCTAATTAAACACACCTGAACCCGCTAATCAAGCTCTTACTAGGCATAGAAACTTCCAGTCAGGTGTGTTGAGACAAGTTGGAGCTAAACTCTGCAGGACACCGGCCCTCCAGGACTGAGTTTGGACAGCCCTGGCATAGAGCATAGAGATTTATTTTTAATACAGTTAACATTAACAGGATTATGTCATGTTCTTAATGCAGTTTTTTAAACATTTCTTGAATATTATAAGGGAATCATCTGTCTGTAGGGTTAGTAAGAGCATTCTACCAGTGCAGTGAGGAACAATGTACATGAAATTCATTAATACATGGGAAAGTGATAATGTGTCTTTATGTGGTGGTACCATGAGTCACGGCTCACTTTATAACTGTAGGCTTTTGGAGGGGATGTAAATTTGTATGAGTGGAGGTAAGAGAGTGCAGAGCCAGTGGCTGTTCTGCACACAAACATCAAACATACAGTGCACTTAAACATGCATTACATTGTTATATAATATGTTGAAAAACATAGAACCAGTTTTATCCAGAGTTTCTGCATATCTGTATGCATTATGCAATTTTAATTAATTGGATTATGATGAAATAAGAGTAACAGTGAGTTTGCTTGAGAAAGAGACACAGAAAATATGACAGAGGTCATGTAATTCACCCAGTGCTCTCTAAGATCTGTGTGTGAGTGTGTGTGTTTTTCTCTTATTCTCAACATGGAAGAGTGTTTGTATGTTTGGAATTTATTACTGGTCGAACTGTCTAAGTGGGTCATAACCCAAAGATGGGTTACAGGTCTGTTTGCAGACAATAGGGAAAAAGCAATGCTAAATGCAACTAGGAACTATTAACTAAGGTGGGCTGCAGGTGGGTTCAGTGCATGTAAACACTGAAATTCAATGGTCAGTTTTCTCATTCAGCCTATATCATGTTAATCATTTTGCATATTGTAGGGTCTGTGTAGTTCACTGTATACATTTCATTGTTTGATTCTAAGGAGGTTTTTGGTTACTTTTGTACATTTGTTCAATTCAAATTAAAACTAAAATGTGTTTAGCAAATAGTGCTACAGTATTATTGGTAACTAAAAGTATTTTCAAATTAGATAACATATCTCATAGATAGACAGAAGGAGCTAGAGAACATGAATGTTTTTGAATGATGTATATGCGAATATTCTGGAACTGAATGTGGGAAGTTAATTGCAACTTGCGAGTAATATTTGTGCATGTTGGGCTGCCTTATTATTCCTGTAGTTCCTCTTATCTGCTTTGTAAATGTCTTAAAAGACGAAGTGCTTATACTTGTGTCATGTGTATGTGTTTTTTGCAGATGGCCCAGAATCATGCCTATTCTTGAGCCGGAGTATGCGTGTAGGAAAATTGTGGATGCTGTTAGAAGGGAACAGGTTTATGTTTATATGCCTCGAAGCATCTACATTGCCATCGTTTTGAAGAAGTAAGTCATGCTGGACCTCAGTGTTAAAGATCCATTTTAATTTCATGTTTATCTATTATAATAACAGCATTTTAAGCCGTTATAAAATAGCTGCTATGCTAAAGCTATACAACTTAAAGGGTGGTATCACCGTTGGCACAATTGGGTTTTAATAAAAAATTTGCTATATATATACAGTAAAAAGGTGTTTTTTTCTTATTGTGCTCTGACAATAAACAGGGATAATCTCAGTGCAGGTAACACTGAGAAAGAGTATGCATTGTTCATTTACAACAATGTGAGAATACAAAGCAAACTTATCTTTTCACCTCTCTGATCTAGGGTTGTCTTTCACCTGTCTCTTCACAAACAGTATGACAGACACATGCAAGACTACTAAAGTCTTTTTCTCAGTGAAGCCAAAATCTAACGCTGCTTTCTGGTTGATGTGCAAGAGAAATAATTGAGAAATTTAAATAGCTTCATTTGTGTGTGTGTGTGTTTTCTTTCAGTTTGCATGTATAACATTTTCCATCTCTGTCTTGCTTTTACTCTGTCACAGTCTTTTACCCACTAAAATGGGTGTGCTGCTTGGTGAATATCTAGGAGCGTTCAACTTTATGGCTAAGTTCAAAGGCCATTAAAAAAAGAGCAAATAATTTCCACCACCAGAGGAATTCAGAACCAACCAGAGGACCAGATGGACAAATCACAGAGAGATGTTTGAGGAAACAAAACCGTGTTCTGCCACAAAATACTAAGAGAGTGAATGGAATAGTTACACATAAAACAAGCATAAAAGCACTTCTTACATTCAGCACTGTTTTAACCATTACAATTAACCCGTTTTAATTTTTTTATTATTATTATTATTTTAATAACAGCAATAGAGCCATTTGCACTTAATTTGCACCCAATAAAACATTTTGATGAAGAAAAGCTGTCTCTTTGGCTTTAGAGGTTACATATTGTAGATTTTTTTTTTTTTTATGTATGTTTGACCAGAACCAAACTACTTTCTAATGACTTATTTAATGACTGACTGATTGTATTATGGAAGCAGTTGACTTGGCTTATTATTATGGCTCCTTAATAAATGTATAATAATAATATTGGTGTCACAAATCATCTGTTCTGCGACTCTTATTTTGTGCATTGTTCATATTTTGTTTTGTTCTTATGTTCATTGCTTTCCATTGTCCCTATGTTCTCAGTTCCCGTGCTTAGTTTCTGTGTCCTTGGTTGCTAGTGTTCCTTTGTTGGTTTCCATAGTTAATCATTTGCTGTGTTTGAAATTGCCCCCTATACCCTCATTCACTATTCCCTACATTAGTCCACTAATATAGTCCACTTGAAGGAGTGAATGAAAACAAGTGAGCGAATTCAGACACTGGAAGGGCTGGCGCCTTTGCATAGTTTATGGTTGCAATTTATCAGAAAAAAAAAAAAAAAAAAAGATTTATTTCAAACTCTATCATGGAAACTAGCATCTGTAAACTTTAATTAAACTGTTTAATAAAAGGGAAATTTGTACTTTTGTGATATTACGCTGTACCCACATTGGACAAGCAGTTTGGAAAATGGATGGATAGATGATTCAGCTGCAAGAGTCAACTGGTGAGATGCAGGAATTCATTTGGCACGACCCTCAAAGTACATTAAGGGTATGGGGCGATTTCGGACACAGCCATTCTGTTCATTTGTATCCTGTTTAATTACTTGTTATCTCTTGTATTTAAAGCCCTGAGTATTCCTTTGTTGGCTGATTATTGTCTTTGCTAAGCAGATCTGTTACGTTTACCTTTGCCTGTTTTTTTTATACATATGACTTAAAGGATTTAAAAAAAAAAATAAATCTACTGCATTTTGATCCTCACCCTTAGCCTGCACATTACAGGATAATCGACCACTACAACGGCATGGATCTGCCAGCAGTGGTACAATTCCTTCACCATACCCTCGTATTTAGATTTTGTGTATCGCATTATCCGGGGGATTCCTTCTGGGCATTCCTTTTGGCTGGGTTGAATGCACAGAACAGAGCACACCTGCCTGGTGACGGTCCCCAAGAGAACTTCTGCAAATTTCATACAATGTGTGCTGTTCCGCTGTAGAACCACTTTTAGAGTGATTGAGAAGAATGAGTCAGCCATGGACCCAGAGCCAGTGCTGTCACCAGTCAACTTGTTTAAGGACTCTTTATTTTGATGTTCTTTTCTGTCTATTTTTCTTATTTTGAAGTTAATTTCTTTCCATTTTCCCTTTCCATTGTTTTCGATACTTCCGACTTCTAGGATTACCTTTTTTAAATAAATCTGTGGCATTTTGATCATTGCCTTAACTTCTCCGTCGCCTGTATGTTACAATTGGTTGCTGAGAATTGGATTTTTTTTTTTTAAATCAATGCACTACTATGAAAACAAAACAGCACCATAAAACACAAAAACGTTATTTATACAACAGGATCTCTGTGTGTGTACATTTAGTATAACTACACTAGAGAAGTGCAGTAAATAGGCCTACATTTTGGTCTCAGTGGAATTTTGCCTAACTCTATCCTAAAATCTATACCATAATATTATATACATTTATTAATGTATTTACTTATATATGTTTATATCTTAATATATTTAATGTAAAATTTAATTTAAACATATATATCTACATAAATTATAATTAGAAATTGTAATGCAGTGTCAAGAGACAAAACATGACTGATTCAAATATAATTAAAATCAAAATAAATTTATTATTTGATTGAAATGTATAATTTTATTGAAATGTTAAAAGTGGGTATACATTACACCAGAATGGAGGCAGACTTGGGGCGCATTGTTAGGGTCTAAGCAGAATGCTTTTAGGCACTTTTGGCAGTGCGGTTTCGGAATACTGCAGGTATACTGCAGTGTTGTGGCACTTTTAGGAAAGAAAATTATCATAATTTCCTTAGATCGCGTGCTTTGTTTCAGAGAACATTTGTTTAAAATGCTCGAATTTATGAGAATTTCTGCTGCCCTTTTTTTTTTTTTTAGAATGCCTGCTAATTTTACACTATAAGGTTTTTACATGAATGAGACATTTTGTTGTATCTTGAGCCCTGTCTTCGATGTCATTGTCTCTGTGATCTTATGTAATCATGTTTCATCGTGGAGTCAAAAATGTTCAAAATGCAATAGGGTCTGACTCATCTGTAAATGACTAACAAATTAGTCATTAGGGATCATGACACGAGTAGGAGTGTACAATCCCAGCATATCAGTAATTCCAATAAAGGGACACTAAAGGCTTCCTATTGTCTTTACCTAGGAGGAATTATTAAATGTTAAAAACAAATAAAAATAAATTAGACTTCTAAATGTAGAATCAGACTGTCCCTTGGCCTTGTGACAAAATCATTAAAGCTGTCTAAACTGGGGCATTACATCTCAGTGCAGTATCTGTTGTGGGAGCAGTGCATACATTTGTGTGTATGTGGACACAAATTTTTAGGGCCATGCATAAAGAAGGACTACAAAGCCCACAAGTTCACTAATTATTGATGATGATTTATAAATATTTACTTACTATGAATTTATTACTGTGTATTTTTGATTATTCAGGCACAGTGGCATGCACAGACCTCCACTGGGGGCAGGGCAGAGACTTTTTTCCAAAAAAGCAAATGTAGCAAGGTCTAGGACAAACCTTATCTAGTTTCAGAAACTCACCAGTACTTAATTTTTCTGGACACCTTTTTAATGGTTAAATTACATTTTATTTATCAAAAACCATGTCTAATTAATTAAAATCATGAAACATAATTATAATAATGAAACAATTTAACATCAATTTATTAAAATTTAACAAAAATTACATGTTTAGGGCCTTATGAAATGTTTTTTTCCCCCCACCTTATGTTTTATTGTTACCAAATTCTGTTTTAGCATGTCTAATTATATGAATGCATAAAAACAAGTTTCATTTATTCTTACAATAGCCTTATGATTTTTTTTAGCCTTATGACAAAACAACCTTATAAAATTCATACACTACATGGTTAAGTACATAGTGCGTAAGTACATACGTGCATAGTGTATCATTTGGGACGTAGTTAATGTCTTAGAGTTAAACCAAACTTATTTTGACGAGTTGCCGTGAATTTACATTTCTGTGTGTATATGATAAGATGCTAGTTTAACTCAAATGCAACAGTCAAATGCTCATGAAGTGACTCTCGGAGCAGTTCTGGAGATGTTGTTCATGTATTTATGTCCTAGTGAGACTTTAGACGCTGAAATCACCGTGAGCTTCACGCATAAAGTTAGTAAACAAAACTGCGCGTCTGCACCATTCATTTACACAGAACATGCAGGATTCATATTTAAATAGTCTTTTTGCGGCTTAATATTTACAAATAATAGTCCATATCGTGATTTAGATTTAAGCGTAATGACCTTTTGATTAATTCAGCCAAACTTTGACAAATTCTGTGAAATTCTGCGTTAAACTGTAAATTCCGTTTTTATAGCTGGATTCCGCGATTTGATCCACATTTTCCGCATTGCATAAATCATAGGGGCCTACTACTCTGGGTCCTAAAGATGGTGCTTTTATGTAATTTATTCTCAAACTATCAGAAAACTACACTGCAACATGTCTACAATGTCAGCGCCTTCTGGAAATTGACAGTGCATGTATATCATACCTCGCCGATGACTACTGAGGAGCAACAAGGACTTTGTTTACGGCAGAAGCCATACCCTGAGACCTCAGCCTTGGTCACTAATGCTAACTGCTCAAGGAGACATCACAAGAGGTGTGACGGGGACATAAACCTTGAGGCATATAAGCTAGGCTAAAGGCAAACCCCACAACACCGTACGGTTTGCCGAGGCGGTTTGTGTTGCTATATCAACAAAGAATGGTATAACAATGCTGTCATAGTCTCCAAACACTGTTCGTCACTGGTAGAGGTCATGTTTGTAAAGTGTTGACACTCCTATCTGCTGCGGGAGTTCACAGCCATTGTTAATGTCATTGTGTATATACCCCGTGTGCTAACGCTTCACATACTGTACAGCTCTATCAGCAAGCAACAAACCAACAACCGTGATGGCTTTTTCATTGTAACTGGTGACGTCAACCAAGTAAAGACAGTTTTGCAGAAGTTCTACCAACATTCTAACTTTGCAAAAAGGTGAACACATTGGACCTGGTGTACACAACCGAAAAATAAAGGACAAAAAACTGCATACAAAGCTCCCCCACGCCTCCTCCTCAGGTACTCGGGTCACATCTTTGTCATGCTAATTCCAGCATACAGACCTCTTCTCAAACTCACCAAACCGGTTTAAAAGCATATCACAGTATGGCCAGATGATGCTGCCTCAGCACTACAGGACGGCTCCCAGGACACAAACTGGAACGTTTAAAGACACAACCTACAACCATCAAAAAAACCTGCAAGAGTACACTGAAACAGTGACTGCTTACATCAAAAAGTGCAATGATCACAAAGCATATGGATTTTCTTTTATATATGTTCTTATTTTAAAAATCTTGAAACTGCGAAAAACACCTACTTCCTTTTTTGTCTTTTTTTTAAGGTTAGGTTTAGGTGTAGGGATATGGTCAAGACTACATTTTTGAATTAAAATGTTGTTCCAGGGTCAACAAAATATGTAGCAAAATCAGGACGTGCCGGACTGTACACTAAGGTGACCAGATATTGGAAATGTACACCAGGAACATTTAGTTTAGTCAAAATATCATTTAAACCTTATAGCATGTTCTAATAAAAAAAAAGTAAAAAAAAAAAAAAAAAAAGTGCAATGATGATGTGACAGTCACCAAGACCATAACCATATGTGCCAACCAGAAGCCATGGCTGATAGCAGATGCCCATAGGCTGATAAAGATCACATCAGGATATAAAGCTGCCCTCAAAACAGCAAGAACCAATCTGAGACACAAGATTCAACGCTCCCCTGAGCATGCTAGACATATTATTATGGCTAGTGGCATTTTACACAGTATTTGCAACCTTTCCTCCTTGGTGATGATGGTGATCATGATTACTTCTGATGAGAATGATGAAGATACTTCCGACCACCTATTACTGAGTGTTTCTGGGAAAGCATCAATATGGGACTGCTTTGCTAGCTTACATTTTTGATATTGGCAAAACGAGTTGACAATATGTAATAATACATCAAATTGTTTATCATCATATTTTATTTACTCAAAACATATGCACAATCATTGTGTGTTTAATCTCATCAGTTTTAGTATGTAATATCAATATTCATATTGAATTTCCAGAAACTTTATTTGCAATTTGAGACTTTTAAGAGATGTTTGCCTACTAAACAACAACTGCACCTCTTTACCTAAGTTCACTACTTCAGACTGATGTGCACTCCAGAAGCTTGTAGTGAACAGCAAATCATAGTACAATCCCAAAGAGGCACAAAATCACTTTCACAGGCTTTTACTTTAATTGTTCCCTGCTGATGGAATGACCTGCCCAACTCGATCCGAGCAGCTGAGTATTTAGCCATCCTTCAGAAACGGCTAAAGACACATCTCTTCCATCTTGGCCCTTTAAAGGTCCCCTGAAATGCTTAGAAACAAGCAGCGTTACTCTATGTGTTGACGTCATTTTAACTGAAACAGGAAGACAGGGCGGGACATATCAAGCAGCCCCGCCCCTTTTTTAAATAGCCAATTGCGTTCGCTTATATCACAGCTTGGGCTAGAGCCGTTCAGAGCTGTTGAGCTCCGTAAAGACGCATTTGACAGGGTATGCCAGCCACAATCTCATCCATATTGCCATAAAATATAGCATTCTGTGTAGAATTCAAATAGCTCCGATACAT